GCCCGGTTAAATAGTTTGCGAAGAGTCTTCCCAAGGTTCCGGATCTCCCCAGTTACCCAGGGTTTTTCCTGGGCAGATCTCCGCTCTCGCAGAGGGCAGCTGTCCTCGAACGATTCAACCAGGGCACTTGTGAACGTTTCCACTTTGGCATCTATATCCTCTTTATTTCGACATTGAAAAGTATCCTGACCTAAACGGTTCTTTAGTAAGGCCCCGAACATTGTCCAATTAGTTTTAGACTTATTCCGAAACTTTATCGGCTTTGGTGGTGGCCTTAGTATTTTGAATCTTATGTACCGATGATCAGAAAAGGAGTGCTCGTCCGAAACTCTCCAATCCTGAATTTCGTTTATAAGCTCTTCTGAACATATAGTTATATCTAATACTTCTTCTCTGATTCTATTGACGAAGGTAGCTTTATTACCTAAGTTCAATGTTATCAAGTCTTTAGTATTAAAGAAATCCATGAGGGCTTGTCCCCTGCGATTGGTGTTTGTACTACCCCAAGCTACATGATGCGAGTTGGCATCACAACCTATTACAATTTTTTTATTTTTCCTTTGTGCCTCTTCAACCAGTTTCATCAGATCCGACGTTGGTGGTAGGGTCGGAGAATCGAAAGGCAGGTAAATAGATGCAAGGAATATGTTGCCTCGACCTTGCTTCAGCACCGTTGCATCCGATGTTGATAATCCTGTTGAGAGGAGAAAACATAAGTTCTTGTGACATAAGATACATGTTCTCGGGCGAGATCCTGTATCAGCGTAGAAAAGTTGGAAATTTACGTGATTTAATCCAGAAACCTTGTTGCGAATCGTCCAAGGTTCCTGGATTAAAGCTATATGTATTTTACCTGTGTTGATTTTAGCCATCAGAGCGTTGGTAGCTGTCTCGCTCCGATGGAGGTTTATTTGGATAACCTCAATCATGGTCATCCATTAAACTGTCTTCCAGCGAGTTGGTGGTCACCTCCTCGCTCTTTGGATTTGACTCCTCCGGATAGCCTGAAGTGGCTATTAATGCAGTGAGTACTGTTGATGGCACTGCGGTGTCCTTATCAGGCATAGGAATAGCAGTATTTTTAATAGACACATTCCCAATTCTGGAGAGCATTGCTGTTCTGTCTTCTGGCGGGTGAGTGATTTCCTCCTCGCTTTTAGGATTTGACTCCTCAACATTGCTAGTACTTGCTAATGATGCTTTGGGTACTGTCTTAGGTGTTTTAGTGTCCTTGTCGGGGCCGGTTTTGACAGCCCTTTCAATCGGCGCCTTCCCAATTTTGGAAAGGGCAACTACACTTTCTTCTGGCGAGTTAATGGTAAATTCCTCGATTTTAGGATTTGACTCCTCAACGTTATCAGTAGTGGATACTGTGGTCTTAGGTTTTTTAGTGTCCTTTTCGAGGCTTGTTGTAACAGCCCTTCCAATCGGCACCTTCCCAATTTTGAATATGACAGATTTAGAGGCGAAGTAAGCCCTACCTTTATTCTTGGCAAGACTAGCCATGGATTTCTGGTCGATACCTATTACAAATAAAGTTCCCTCAGGTTCTTCTTTCCTGTAAAAGACATCCCATTTTTCCACGGCCAGCTCAGCATTTTGACCTCCAAGAATTTCCAGTATACGTTCATTAGCCAGTTTACTGCCCCATCCTTTTATGTAGACAGTGGACTTTAGGAGCACCGGAAGCTCGCTCTTCTTTGCCAGTCCCAGCCTAGCGCCGTCCCAGGGAGGAGGGATACTTTCCACCAAGTTCTTTAGGGTGCTAACACATTGGTGAGATGCCAACCTCATCAACATCACGCCCATGCTGAACTCGCAGCTCTCGCTCTCTATTGGTTGTTTGCCCTTTGAAGCTATTGCATGGTCCACTATCTTATTGTTGACCAGGTCTTCTATTTTACTCTGTTGGTCTATTGGAATTTTGCCTGTCGGATTACCGGCATCGTAAACTGCATAGCAGAGATCGTCCCGGTGCCTACTTCTGGCAACTTTGGCGTAAGATGGCGGCTCTTTACCTTTTCCTCCGTCTAGCTTCTCCTTCCTCGTTTTTCGGGGCTTCTTTTGAGATTCCCTTACCTTCGAGGTTGATTTCGCCGACGTGTTCGTCTTCGGAATATCTGGCTTGGCGTTGTCACCCTTACTCGCAGGATTCTCACTTGAGATTCCTTTGAGTGAAGTATGGCTTGGCTTCGACTGTGTATTAGAAGACGGGGAGCTCTTTTTCTTCTTAGGCTTATTCTCAGTTGTCAACTCCTCGGGAGACCTGATCCTTTTTGCCTCAGATCTTGTGAGAGAGTCCGATTTTTCCTTTGGAGTGTCGTGGGATTGACTAACTATGATTTCCTGAAGCATCTTTTTCAACTTCCTCCTCTGTGCTCCAGAAAGTCTTTTCTTAGTAATAGGTAGTTTAGCTATGCTATCACTCACCTCTTTCACCATTTGCTCTACTTCATCCTTTTTGGGATTTGCTATAATGGTATTATTATTATTATCATCTGAGGATTCAGAGTCGGAACCCTCACCTATATTTAAAGGCTGAGGTAGCTTAGAGCTCTCTCCGAGTACATCCTTCTCTTTCACCCCTATATTTTTGCCAGCGGCATGCTGTACACTTGACGCATTGTCCGCCACGGAGGCCAAGGTACCCACCTCCGTAGTAGTATTCTGCTCACGATTGCAGGATGACGACGACACGTGACTCGCGAGTAGATCAACACTTGCCGCCGGTACTGGGTTATTTAGGCCCTGCACCGTAACTTTTATCTTTTTATTTTTATTTTCCATATTTGTTTTTTTTTTTTCCAGTTTTTTGGTCCGCGGGGAATATAATATTCCCAGGTGGTGGACAATCTGCCCTCCCTCAGCTTAAGTGAAATTAAAGCTGGGAGAGGACAGATGGTCCATCACCACCCCCTATCCGCCACCCGGGGACGCGCTCGGTAGGAAAAATCTGGAAAACTCCCCCGAGTGGATTGATTTAAGTCCGAATGCGTTCTTGATATGTTAGTCCAAAATTGAATTAATCCCAAAATGTGCTTGATTTGAACTCGATCCGTACTTGTTTTCTTTTTGGAGCTATTTTAACCATCTTTCTGAAACAAAGTGATAACATAAAATTCTTATTTTAAGAATTTTTGATTTTAAGTCCGAATGCGTTCTTGAAATGTAATGTAAATAAGATTGTTCAAGATTGAATTAATCCCAAAATGTGCTTGTTTTGAGTAAGATTCATTCTTGATTTCAGAATTTAGAAAATTTCAGCAAACATTATATTTTAGAATTAATCCTAAAATGTGCTTGATCTGAGTAAGATTCGTTCTTGATTTCAAAATTTAGAGATTTTCAGCAAAAATTATATTTTAAGTTTTAGGATAAAGTTTACGATCATAAACTTCTTCCCTGAAACTGGACAAATAAAAACTATTCGTTGTTTCCACATTAAACCTTTTGTCAGGATTGACTGGGAGAGAAATATGATTATTATAGACGAGATTACAGCTCGTTTTTCGCAAAATTTTGACACAACCGATCCTATTAGGAACAAATTACAATATTTTAAAAACGATGTAAATCTCCATTCAAATTCTTTTAGATTCTATTGGCGCCAGCATTAAAATCAAAGCCGAATATTTGGTCGGCCAGCAATTAAGAACAATAAAATATTTAGTAGCAATATTAGCATTGTCATCGACATTTGTCAGATGACTTTTAAATTGCCATAACATATGTAAAATATAGACTAGATTATTTGTATTTTAAAACTAGACTTAAAATTCCTCCATTTAAAATTTAATCGTGAGTTTTATTTAAAATTATGCAAAAAAATTGAACAAACAACTTGTTAAGAAATTAATATCTTCTTAATGATATTCAACAAGTAATTCTTAGCAATTCTACGAATTCAAGTGTTTGAACTAAATATAAATCTAAAAAAATCTACATAATTACGATTCCTATATATTTTCTAATAGAACTAAAACCTAAGGTTTTGAAAATTACAAAAACAATGCGAAAAAAACTAGTTTATTCGAAAGATATATATTGTTAGTAATTTAGATTATAAACATATAAAAGTTAAAGAGAAAAAAAGCGACATGCTTTAATAAATAATTATACAAAACGTAAAACAATAATAAAAACAAAACAAATTTAAAAAAAAAAATACAACAAGAAACAAAAATAACTGACAAGGTCGTATTTAACAAAAAGTTAAACTTAACATCATTACGAACGAACGATTTCCTTAAATAAATTGATAAGAAGGCGAGAGTCAGAGAACTAAAAACGTAATAAACAACGAAATGTACTTTTATCGCAGTAATTTAGTTTGAAGTAGCGAAATATTTAAGTGCAGAAATTTGTTAGTAAAAAGCATTAGAGAAAAACTAAATTTATTTATACTAATTTCCTTAGTCTTTGTTATTGTCCACTAACTGTGTGCGTCATTCTTCTTCAGTGATAGATTATGATCGCAAGTTATAAACACCATTTCCAAAATTATAATTTTTTTAATTAAGATAACTTTATTAAAGTTCGAGGAGTTTAGGGAAAGTTTAAATGTATGTAAACACTACACTTGTGCTAAAATAATTAGGTCATATTTATGTCAAAGCAAAAACTTATTTTGCCATTTTTGTCAGCGTCATTTGTCAGTTACGAAGTTTGGCAATATTTCCCAGATTTGTCAGTTTTTAGGAGTAGTTTAAGAAAAATTAAGCAGCTTTTATTATTTCAATTTCTAACGAACAGCCAATAAAACTCAATGTTTCCAAACAAGACAACGAGAACAGGTAGCAAATGGTAGAGACCGACTTTTGAATCCTTCTGTTCGAAATTTTGTTATCTGTTGCTGATTCGAAAGCGAACAAGGACAGCAAAAGCCGAGTCAACTACCACATTTTTTGGCGGAGCAGACAACGCAGTGTGGTTATGGAATCGAAATGACTTACGTATAATATCCCAATTTTCTATAAAATATTCCCATATAGACATGGTACCTTTAAATTGTGTCAATGCATCTTCATAACCACCCTGTGGTTGTTGAAGTGTTGACGAATGTTTGGCTTTTTTTGCCGGACTAGTTTCGGCATAATGATCAAGCGAAGCACCACCGGGTGATATGGAGATTCTAGCTGCTGAAGCAGCCGATGGTGATGATGTTTGATGATGCTGCGTCCGATGATGCGTATGATGGGAATGTTGGGTATGATGATGGCCACCGACACTACTGCTGCTGCTATTGTGAACATGTTGTTGTACATGATGGTGACGGCTGCCACTTCTACGCGTTGTTGTTGTAGTTGAAGATTCATATTGTCCCTCGTTGGGATCGAAGCCCAACACATCCTTGTAATAGGATTGTGATGCCATATTGTTGTTGTTGGTGCACGTTTAAAGCGTACACGCTTTTCTTTTTTTCTTACTTTATGGCAATATTTTATAACTTAATTTATTTTTTATTCAATTTAACACTTTTTTGCACAATGTTTTTCTTTTAGAGTTTGTCATATAAGAACAGTTTTTATTTAAAACTTTTAATTTTTGTTTGTTTATGGCAGTTATTATTATTCTTTTAAGTAGAGTTACACGTTTTGAGTTGGCGGTTTGAGTTTTTTACTTCTTTTATACAAATCACTTCTTCTTCTGTGGAATGGCACTTTTATCTTTTATTTCTAATTAATTTTGTGTGTTTTGGAAAGATTACTTTTTTTATGTTCTAATAATCTCAATTAAAATTCCAACACTAAAATGTAAAACATAAAATCTCATATTAATATCGTTGAGTTTTTAATTTTCTATTTAAAATTTGTTGCGAGCAAAGTGAACAAACAGCAGCAGTTCATTATGTTTGGTTGTGTGTTTATATTGAAATTGTTCTAAATGCAAAAAAACGATGGACCCGGCCCGTATGAAAGCAAAACACTCGTTATATAGCATATATATGAATTCAAATTGGAACATTTCCGTTACAACAAAAACTAAGGAATTTAGGTGCGTTTCTTCTGTGTGCGAGGATTATTAATAGAATAGAAATTATATTACGATTCTTTGTTGTCATCATCATTTACATAAATTCACGAATGGGAATGAATGCTCACAAGAAATAGAAATTCGTCATTTTAGTTGTTATTATTTATTTAACAGGGAATATGAGTGTATGAGGCAACCTAACCAAACCAAAATGATCACTAAAATAAAAATTAAACAAACTAATGTGAACAAAAAGAAATTTACTTTTACCAAAGAGTGAGTGAATATTATGTGCTGTCTTTGGTGGTTTGCAGAGGTTTTAAATAATAGATTCATAAAGCAGAAGAGAAATATTTAGAGATGATCTTATTGTAATTAATGAAGCAAATTCATCACCTTTTTACTTTACTTGAAGAATTCATTCACAATAGTTGATTTTCTTCGTAATTACTGTGAATTGTTTACAAACTTCGCGAGAAACAAATAGTTGAACGAATAATGGAAAATGAAAGAACTTTTATCATTTTCTGTTTTTCTTATATAAAGAACAATTCTTGAATATTCCACAAACTATTTATTCACAATAGTTGATTTTGTTCGTAACTGTTGTGAATTGTTTGCAAAATTTCGGTGAAGAAAATTCCTTCAAGAAATGGAGGAAATGTATAAACGTATTTAAAGTGAAATGTTACTCGTGATAATACTTCATGAATTATTCATTTATAATAGTTAATTTGTTCGTAACTGTTGTGAATTGTTTCCAAACTTTACGAGAAACAAATTTGGTGAAAGTAAATAATAAAAAAAGAATTGTTATTAGTGGAAGCTTTTACCATCATCTGTTGAATATTCCACAAACTATTCATTCACAATAGTTGATTTTGTTCGTAACTGTTGTGAATTGTTTGCAAAATTTCGGTGAAGGAACTTTCTTTAAGAGACGGAGGAAAATAGGAAACGTATTTAAAGTGAAATATTATTCGTAATAATACTCCGTGAACTAATCATTCACAATAGTTAATTTTTTCGTTACTGCTGTTAACTGTTTTTAGACTTCTAAAGAAACAGATTGGTGAACGAAAAGAGGAAAAAGGGAATTCTCATTCGTGATAACTTTATCATATTCGCTTTTTCTCAATTAAATCAAAAGTCTTGAATATTCGTAAACAATTCATTCACAATAGTTGCTTTTGTTGGTAACTACTGCACAAAACATATCGGTGAATGAAATTTCTTCAAGAAATGAAAGAAAAATTAAAACATATTAATACTCCTTGAACTATTCATTCACAATAGTTGAATTTGTTTGTAACTGCTGAGTAAAATTCTACCACAAAAACTCACGTATCGGTGAAGAAATTTCCTTCAAGAAATGGAGGAAAATAGGAAACGTATTTCAAATGAAATACTCCGTGAACTATTCATTCACAGTGGTTAATTTGTGTGTAACTGCTGTGAATTGTTTTCAAACTTTACGAGAAAGACATAGGTGAACAATTAGAGGAAAATGTGAAATGTTATTCGTGATAACTTTTATTGTATTCTCCTTTTTCTGAAGTAAAGCATAAATCTTGAATATTTGTTAACTATTCATTCACAATAGTGAGTGAATGGAAAAGTTTTAAAATTAGTTACTTTGAAGTTGAATTGCTTTGAATCTACCCAAATTTTCTATTTTATTGTTAATAATGAGATCCATAATCAAATCAAAAACTCTAATTTTGCAAGAGGTTTTAAAAAAAGAGAGAAAAACTGTGAATTTCTTAGAATGCATTATTTTTAAACACTGCAATTCATAAGTATTATTTTATAGCTGAAAAAATATATAAATATTCTCACAATCATGTTGAGTAATGAACATTAAAATAAATAACAGCAATATAGCAACAAATTACGGAATTGTTTAATATTTTGCCGGCAAAATAAAAATCAAATCAAAAAGTCAAAAACAACAACCCGGCAAGTTAATAGAATATAAAACACGACAACATAATTGTTGTTGATCCAATTGGCCAAATGCCAGCTATAGGCGTCTCTAGCACTCAGATATCTTTACAGAGAAAGAGACAGGGCACACAGGGTGTTCTTAAGTATGAAACCCAAAATTTTGTGTGTTTTCTTTTAATGAAATTCTTAAAAAAAAGAAAACAATTAAATTCATGGGCTTTTTGTAAAGTGGCAACGAATTTTTTATTGCATACTTCCCCCAAAAATTTTGTTTACCGGCTGTGGCAGACAAAAGCAACACATACACATGAAATGAATAAGATTTTCTTTATGTTCGAAATTTATGTTATGTCTATTGATCTAAATGCTATAATTAGCTAAATATCTGAATGTTTAAATCTGTTTATGCTGTGTTGGATGGAGTGTGCCAGCGTTTTTTTTGTTTAAACTTTAACCGCATTTAAAACAACAACAACAACAGCAATGTCGTCCGTTTAAGTTCATTGGAATTTAAATTGAAAAAAAATGTTGCACAAACTTCAATTGGCGACAAATTGAAATTGTTTATGTGTGTGTGTGTATGCAATGTTTTCATTTAACAAACAAATAACAATACATATTACTCATTTATTTTAATCAATTATGACATTTCAATGAGTTTCACGCATGTACATTTAAATGTATGCAAGTAAGTAAATTAAATTTGTATCTCTGTCCAATGCATAACATCACATCACCACGACACGCCATGCCAGCCACATCACATCACTCCAATTTATTGCATGTTGTACTCACTCGTATTTCAAATCTGTTGTATACTTTACAAAAAACCCTCCGAAATTTTATTTGAATGCAACAATTATTGCTCGGGCACACACTGAAACCCAAGTGTGGACATTTTTTTATACATTAATTTGCTTTAAAAAAACATCGTCGGGTTTTGAATTCTATAGTTCGCAACAAGATTGTGATATAAAAAACCAATTGTTGCCAATTGAAATCAATTTATTTAATTTTTCTATTTGACTGCTTATGCCCAAGAAAAAAAAAAATAAAGCAAAAACAACATTAAAATTATGTCAGCAAAAAGTTACACAGGAGATTTTGAAAAATGAAGAAAGCGACAAGAAAAAAACATTAAGGGGTTTCATAAACAATAGCAGATATAATTTTTGGGTCTTGGACAATTTTGAGTTCAGACATAAAAGTCTGAATAATATCCTAGAAATATAAAATTACCAAATTTTTGAGATATAGTGCAAAAACCTTTTTGAGAATACCCGGGTATTTCCGATTTTACAGGGTAATTGTCAGAACGGTATTAACCCTCTATGAAATTTGATTTTTTCGAGAAATGAAACCTTAATCAATTACCTATGTATATAAGGAATAAATTGTTTCCCAGAATAATCAAAGTAATTTATATATAACTATAAATTGACAAAAAGATAATTTTTAATACATTTTGTCTTTATCGAGATATAGCCCATGGAAGTTTTTGCCGTAGTACATAGTAGTTTTTAACATAAGATTAAGATATTTGAAAGAATAAAGAAGATACAAAAAGGTTAAATGTCGGCCGATAGAACTTTAAGATGATATAGATAATTTTATAAATAAAGATGTTTTCGTGAAAGTTTTTCAATATTTAGGTCACAATATCTCAAATTAAGCTCAGCTCAATCCTTTCGAAAAGTACACCGTGGTCCTCGTGTCTATAGACGACTAAACAGCCGAACCGATTTGATTGAAATTTTACCAAAATATATCTATATGTTTGGAAGGAACATACAAAATAAGTCGAATAACTCAGAAACTGGCACAGCTAGAGTCCTCAAATTGTGTGGACAACTTTCACATCCATATCAAAATGGGTGGTATAAGTACAATGGGAAGGAACATACAAAATAAGTCGCATAACTCAGAAACTGCCACAGCTAGAGTCCTCAAATTGTGTGGACAACTTTCACATCCATATCAAAATGGGTGGTATAAGTACAAAGGGCGTGGCACCTCCCATATAAAGAAAATTAATATATTTTAAAAAATACAACACCTGGAGACCTCAAATTATTTCCTCTTTAGTATTGATATGAATATTTAAGACAAAACTAGCAATAGAAGGGCGTGGCACTTCCCATGCAATAAGGGTTTGGTACCTCCACTATAAAATGAATATAAAAATTCGTATATCTGGAAAACTTTTATAGCTTTAATGTTAAAATTTTATATGGGTGGCATATTCCATATTAACGTTTGGAGGAAATGATAAACTTGCAATAGTAGGCGGGGTATCTCCCATATGAAGTAAATACAAAGAATGGTATACGTATCTGGATCGTTAAATATGCACCCCTTTCGCCAATAGAAGTGAAATTTTTATTCCCTTGAAATATTCATTCCCTTCGAAGGAAAAATTGCTATCGTGAACTTGTTGTTAACAATTCATTCACAATAGTTGATTTTGTATGCAACAGCTGTTCAATGTTTACAAAATTCCATCAACAAATTTCACGTGAAATGGGAACATATTTCACGTGAAATGTTGATTAGCGATAGGAGTGATTTCAAAGCGGTTTTTTTTATTTAAAAAGTTCTATAAACTTAAGTTATATCTTTCAAAATTATCTCAAAACTTTCCTGCCACAGAATTTCTGTTGCTTAGTGTAATCATTTAAATTTCACACCCAATGCAATAGTGATGAAAGAAAAATGCAATGTAATAAAATTAAATATTTACGATTGACATGTGTAGATTTTTCCAACATTTAAAGAAAAACAAAGAAAGTTGCACAAAACTAAAACTAAAAAAAGAAAGACATAAATAGCTAGAAAGTTAAGGCTGGGGATATCCCACAATTAGTTGACGTTGTAACAGATAAAAACAACAAATTCTGGTAGATATCTAACATTTTTTTCTGAAAAACTTTTTGTGTGAGATTTTGTTCATGTTTTTTTTTTAATAATTTTTATTATTTTTAAGGTCACATCATTAACTAACACCCAGTGTATAATCAAATCATATGTCTGTTAATTTCATTTGGCAATTTGTTGTTATTTTTTTACGATATTTTCTGTTGTTGTGTTGACAAATTATATTCTGTAGTGAATATAGTTTCTTTTTGCTGCTGTTGCTGTTTAAGTTTTCTGTAGTTGTTGTTAATATCAGCTCATGTGCTGCCATATGATTAGATATGATAAATTATTTATTTATTAACTCAACAAAGAGAAAAATAAACGCAAATTAGAGTGCAAAAGCGGGAGTAATGATAGATCAGTGTTGCCATTGGGTAATAACATTTTTGCAAATTTATAGTTTAATGCAGAATTGAAAAATAATTTAGCATTTTTTAGTTTAATTGTTAACAAACTTTAAACCTTTTGTTTACGAAATATATTTAGTTCTGCAACTGTTAACATGTGGCAACACTGCTCTAGCAACTGAGAGAATTTTAAAGAATCTCATTTAGCAGTTTGAATGTTGTTTTGAAAACTGTTTAATAAATTATCGTGCCATAATAGATAGAGCAGTAAATAGTAAACGTAATTTTATATTTTTAATAATTTATTTCATTTTATTACACCATTGCCATTAGTATTTTTGACTTTTTCACTTGCAAGTCAGGAAATTTTTAATAGTTTTTTAACTTTTTCAAACTTATAAATTTTTGATTCTATTAATAATGTAAATGTTTTCAATATAGTTCAACATTTCTCAATTACATATTTGGAAATGGTGTAATTAAGCTATTTTTCACCAGCTCTTTTATGCGAATGTCTATTTTTTCTAACACTTTTGCTAGTGATACCAACAATACAACATTTTGTTTTATGACTTTATATAGCAGGCCGCTAGAAGAGTTGTTGCAGCAGGAAAAATATCATTAAAAAAACAAAGAAATTATAAATAAATTGTGGAAGTCCCACACAACAACCAAACAACGAACGAACCAAAAGACCAGTGACTATGATCGAGTAAGTGGTATAAAAAAGAAGCAGAAGAAAAAAAGGTGAAATCACTATTAAAGTACTTGAATAAAAATTCAATAGCAGCCACCACCACCAACAACAACTACAACTAACGACAATAAAAATGATAAAATATTAACAATTAAAAAAAATATGAAAAAATATATAAAATAAAAAAACACACATACAAACTATAAATAAATAAAATCACATAAAAGAAACATAAATCATTGAATAAACTCAACAAACGCAAAGTGAAATGTAGTGAAATGAAGTGAATTTGTAAAACAAGCAACTGTAAATTGCTGAAAATGAAGGGAGTAGCAATAAAACAATGTTGCATGATTTGTTTAGGAATTTATTTGAATTTTGTTTTTCTTGGCGAGATCATTATTATTCCTCAGTTTTCTTAACGTATTGTGTTGATGTGTTTTTCATTTCAATTTCTTTTCATTTCTGTTGTTGGAATTTTGCATTTGTTTTTAATTCCATTTAACTCTCAGTTTGGTTATTTGTCTGCCACATTGTGGACAATTTTAAAAATTAAGGATCAAAATTTGCTACGACATGAAACCTTTATTTTGAAACCAATATAATCGAGCTCTTATAACGTCTCGAATATGGGGAAAAACAGTATATAGATATCTCGAAAACCTGATGTGTGGTCAGTTCTTCATAAAGGTATAATCTAGGCCCGTGTAATACCAAGCTAATGGACTATAATGTTTGGAAAACTTTTTGCATTTTTCAGTTTAAATACTTTTAGCTGAATATATAGAGAAATATTTAAAAAAATCAATATATTAAAGGTGACCTTTGACCCCAGGATGTAAAAGAATTAAGTATGAGTCCGAGCAATAACGGAATATGTAAATTGGATTAGATTAAATATGGCGCCCACAGCCCTTAATATATTTACCGACAGCCAGAAGGCCATTAGGGCGTTATCTGGTGATAGAATTAACCCCCTCATTTTATAAAACGAAACTCTCGTAAAAAATTTGTATGAAGAATACTGGGAAATTTTTGAAAATTTGAATTTTTTCCATACAAATTTTTTTGAACGTTTGTCGTTTCGTTTTATAAAATGAGGGGGTAAATCTAAGACCGTATTGGATTCTAAGAAAGCTTGAGGTAGTTAACCTGACAAATGCAAAACCATTCGAAGCAACAAAGGAGGAATTAAAAATATGGGTTAGAGAATCCCATAAGGTCTCTTGGGATAATGAAACGGTGGGTAGAACCATAAAGATCCAAGGGAGGACCCTGATGAGAACAAGACAAGAAATCTCCTCAAAATGATCAAGTCTGAAGTTAGTATGATGGTACGTATTCTGAGTGGACACACAGGATTACGAGCACATCTATACAAAATTGACCGTGCAGATTCAGACGAGTGGACAGTGAAACTCTGGAGCACTTTCTTTGCCACTGTCAGGAAATAACATTCCTGACTAACACTGATTGGTAAATTCTTAGGAATTACGTTCAGTAAACTGAGTTTCTGAACTTTGAAAAATAGTGAACAATTTTTTTCAGATTTGGCCATATTTGAGACGTTACTTAAGTTAGAATATCTCAAAGAAGAAAGAAGTTATAGCACAAGTTATACCTTTATTTTAAAGCATACAGATTGGACTTACAAATGACAAAAAGTTATTAATTTAGGACACGGTAACTTGAAAATCTGATGTTATGAAAGAAATTCATATCCAGACACCTTTTGAAAAGTATAATTTATTGTCTGGGTTAAAAATTTCTCTTCTTAAAGCCAATTTTAGAAAAACTAAATTTCCATAAAAATATTTGCTTTATTTGTGCATGATTTCTAGGAATGGGGCTGCAGATAAATTCAGTTTGTATGGATTTTTGTTTTTGCACAACATTTTTTGCCGATCTTTTTGTACTTCTTTTCACAACTCTCACTGAAACTGTTGTTGTAGTTGTTGTTGGTGGCAATCGTTTCTTGTACATTACGATCAGACACACAAATTCAAGTGGATAAAAGGTAGGGCGCGCATCTAGTAACTTTTCATTATTTATTTATTTTGTTGTTGTTGTTTATTTTAATGCATTTTTACGTTATTTTTTATATTTATTTTTTTGGTTAGTGGCACGTTTTGTATTTCTAATGTTGTAGCTGTATAAGACAACAACAAGTAAACAGGTAAAAATAACTTCAACAATTCAATAAGAGACACAAACAAATAAAAATTAAAAAAAGAAAGAAAGATTTAAAACACAGTCATGAGAAACGCAATTTTTTTTTGTCCAAAACACACACAAATTCCTTAGATACTTTTTTAAGCTTTTTTTGATTTTTGGTTTATTTGTTTTAACATTTTTTTAAGTTTTGTGTTTTTTATAACAAAAAAAAAAAAACTAGAACTCGTTGTTAGCAATTGTAGTTGTATACACACTTTTTGGCTTAAAGGCAAAATTACAACATTTGTTAGAACTTTAGTTTAAGCCAAATGTTAAGGAGTTGATATGGTTAAACTTTTTTCTTTTCTAGCATTCCAACAGTTCAGTTAAGCTTTTGTTCTTTTAATATTTGTGGCTGTTTGCTGCTAATACCAAGAGGATTGAATGAAGACTTAAACATTACTGAAGGTGGTGTGTGAAGCAAAAAAAAAAAAAGTATAGATTTGTTATTCGACCCAGTGTTTAAAGAAATAAAACAGAAAACAAAATCAAATGAAATGAAACACACAAAATAAAAAAAACTGGTTGTTAACTCAATGAATTGAAATTAAGCCAAACAACAAAATCACACTAAGCCAGGCCAGACAAGTTGAGTCGAGCCAAGTTAATACCTTGGACAACAAAAAAAAAAACAAAGTTTTAAAAAACAACAACAACATAAAAGAGACACACACCGACCGACCGACCAAGTCGTCGTCATCATCATCATCATTAGCCGCAGCAGCAGTATTACCAACCACAGCTACAACAACAAAAAACATTAATAATAACAATAATTAACAACAAAAAAGTCCAAATTCTCATACACACAATCGCTGCCACTTTTAGATTATAAAATTTGATTTAATTTTTAATTTGGTTTCATTAATTTTTAATCAATAGATAGTTTTTAAACATTCCTTGTTTAAAAAAATCTTAGTTTTTCTTGTTTCTTCACTTTACTCGCAACAAATTTTTTATTTTAGTTTTATTCATCATAATTGATTGTATTTTAAAAGTTATTTTAATTTTTTAATTATAAATTTTTAAATTACGCACACACACTGTCGTTGCTACACACACAAATATATTTTGTTTTTGCTTTAACACATTTACAACACACACAATGACAATTTTCAATTATTTCTTTTAACGAAAACAAATCAACAAATTTATTTGTATTTTGGAATTACAACAAATAGTTTGTTGTTTAATTTTTTTTCAAATATCGTTCATAAAAAAAGTTTTACAATTTTTGTTGTAATGTTGTTGTTCTTTTTTTTCTATATTTCTTTTTCTAGTTTGTATATTTATTATAAAAATGTATATTTCAGAAGAAGAGAATACCGCTCGGTACCGTTGTTCAAATTGGACTAAACTCAAAATCGATACCAAATTGCCTCAAAACTGCTCATAGCTTAATAATTTACGTACACAGCCAGACAGACCAGCCAGCCAGCCAACAACGCTCACACTCAAATTCAAAAAAAGCAAGAAAACCTACAATAAAATATACTACAAGCACAAATGCACTCTACACTACACCACACTACCCTATCTCAAACACACAGATACAATACAACGTCAAACAACTATTGTATTTAGAGAATGTGTAGGCTGTTAGGCAGTTAGCAGAGCGGATTAAAAACAATCTGAGAGATATTATTTGAATAAAAGAGATTGAGTCAATCTTTACTCATTCCATACCATTCAACTAACTAACTGACCCTCTCTAGAAAACCTACTAGCACCGTGTACACTTGTACATGCAAATAAAACAATTTACTAAACTTTTTATTTGAAGGGAAAAAAACTTTTAATACAAATTTTAGATACAAACTACACTTACAAGATCATCGCTATATCAGTGTTGTAAACAACTTTATATATTTTGCACATTCAAAAAAACTCGCTTAAAAGAGAGGTTAAGTTTGTTTGTGCCATTTACGGTAGTAGGTCTTATATATGAGATATGACCAATTGTGACCGATCATCAGCAAATATCGATGATTTCTGTATATCGATATTTATAATAACTACCCGTTTTGACAACTACACTACTCGTCAAATGTAACTTAGTGTCAAATTTTGACTAGGACTCGGGGATGATATATTTACATAAATCATCCAATTGCTATTCTGCATGTCTTAACCCTTGCACAAAGGAAAAGGAAAGGAACAAAATTATATATATTACTGGGCTTTGAGTGAGACGGAACCGAGGTAGTCAAATATCACCATTTGTAGAATATCGAGACTGCTTTAGCCCACTCTGATAACGGATAGGACTAGGACTCTCTTGTCTCTTAGTAAGAACTTGATTATACTTCTAACTGGTATAATTACTGGGAACTGTATGATATGTCGGAAATAAAAAGAAGTGGAATCGGTACAACATCTTCTATGTGAATACCCAGCCTTAAATGAACACAGACTACTCTATCTTGTTAGAGCTCTTTTCCATGATCTGGACTATCTCAGAGAGGTGTCACTAGTAAACATGATCAGTTTTATTAAAAATACTAGTTTTCACGAAGACCACAAGAACCAAGTAGTTAACGAAATTAGGGTGACAAATCATTCTCGCAATATAAAAGAATGACAATTCTAAGAGTATCACATTGGGCCACAGGGACTCCGAGTGAACTAGCTAACCCACGCGAGTAACCCACGTAACCTAACCTATTCTACATGTATTTACTATTTCTTAAAAATGTATATTTGAATATATTGGGATCGCAACATCCTGCAAAAGGAACATCGTGCATGTCAGAAAAGATTTTCGAATGTACGACAACTGCATACAGCGTTATTTACATGATCCGCTTGATAACACATCGTACATGGCAGCACTCAACGATATTCATAGAGCTAAGGTAAACACAGAAGTTGCATATCATCGTATCAATATCGTACTTTGAGGTCGCCCACCACATATTGCAGAAGAAGATCACATACTGCCACGTAAAACAAGAGAAGTTCTGGTACAACTGAGAACTGATTGAAGCTATAGAATTAATGCCTATAAGTCACTATAAACTGCACTAATCACATCATTTGTATGACACACTTCACCCTTTTAATCTCAGGGCCAATCCCACCTAACTCAGACCTAAAAACTATGGACTCATCCAGTTGAGGTTGCACAACATCTTGGCCTTGATCTCAACGATCACTTATTGTATTTGCTGCTACAACAACAACAACAACATTCAAAGGCGTCAAAATAAGAATCTTCGCATGACAACTCCTGCGCCATGATACATTAAAATTAAACACCAATAAGCCGAAGCATTGGAGGAATAATTCTCAGATAAAATCCTACTTTATAAACATTTTATTATCTAGTATTGGACGGACAATTGTACCGAACAAATGATTGTATTAGTCCAATTTTGTCAAGCCTGCTTTTTTTATAACAATAGGTACCAAAATCTTCCCAAGTTTCTGAAAAAACTAGGTCACTGTGCCTCAAAGATCTCACAATAAAATCGCTAACTTGTGCTGAAAACATCGAACAACTTGACAACATTGAAGATCATAGATCATACACCTAAACAACAAATATAAAAATCTATTAATTAATACAAGAACGAGTATTAAACATAAAGTACGAAAACAACTTACACTCAATACCTTTAAAGTATCTGTTAAATTAAATTCAATTATTTATGCTGGTTGGAAGACGAAAAACAGAAACACTACACACAGAAATTCATTAATAAACTCAAACCCACTCAGTTTTAAACATGTTTTTCGATCTCTTTTTTACACTCACTCGCTCTACGATAATATCACTCATATGCTCTCTACAATGAGCTTTTATTCAAGTAACTCAGATTTTAATTCTGTAAGATTTAAACACCTTTTATTTAGTTTTTTCTTAATTTCTTTAATCTTCTTCTTTGCAAATTTTTTTTGTTGTTTTGGTATTCTTCTTTATTACTTGAGAAGACTAAAAAGTGTCTTTAACAATAACAACAAAAATTTTGGTCATGTAAACAAACTATAATAAACTCTGTTCTGGTTTTTCAATGAATTCAATAAGAATTCAAAGAAAAAAACAACAATAAAAAAGCACAAAAGATTCAAGAAAAGCCCAATAAAGATATTTAAAAACTTGGTAATTCTCCATAAATAAATATGCAAGAAAGTAAACATAAGTAATGAAAAGTAAAAAAAACAAAAGTAAATAAACTAAAGAAGAGGTAGTAAAATTAAGAAGATTAAGTTATTAAAAAGTAAGCGGTGTTGTTGGTGGTGGTGGCGCAATCAATACCAACCAGCCAGCAGATTCTTAAACAAACATTCTTGCAAACACACAAACAACCACACAAGTGTGTTCCTCACTTACAACAACAAGACCAACTACAAAAGGTAAATAAAGATTATTTGTTTCTTCTCTTCTTCGTGTGTTTCTCTCACTTACTACTCACTCAATCACTTGTATGCTAAAAATATTTACAAATGACAATAACCTGTAACTTTTGTATTTGTTTTTTTTTTTTTACAAAATTCCAATCAGAATGACACACATGTAAAAGAATCCATCCAAAGCAAACAACAACTATGTATTTACCTGAAGAGTAAAAACAACAAATATTCAATTCTTATTGTTGTTTCTTGGTGAATGTGTCATTTACATATAATTAATTCCGATTTGAAATGACTTCTATTGTGAATTTTACATTCATTTTCTTTCAAAACCAAGGAGAAGTTTTGTTTCTCTTTTCATTGTTTTTTGTGTGTTTTGCTGTAATGAGTATTTGATCGTGCAAAAAAAGGAAGCCATTGAATGAATAAAGTGAATCGATTAGTAGTAGTGTTGTTATTTTTAAGCCATCGTTATTTTTAGAATAAACCGGAGTCGAAAAAGACTTTTGTTGTTTCTTGGTGATTGACTTGTAAAAATATTTGTTTTGTTGAAAAAGGTGCGGGTGACATAATGTACCGGCATTTTGTCAGAGTTCCGACATTCCATTGTCTTTGTTTGAAGTTCTCAAAAAAGACGAACAACTTGTAGGAAATAAAGAATTGGTTACTGAGGAATGTATGAGTCCCTATAGCATTGGAGAAGTAAATTTTTAATGTAATTTTCCAAAGAGGGTCTTATATGAGAGCTATGATAGAGCTATAAAATCGATTTCTGCACTGTGGCCCTTTGGTTTAGAAATGTCAAAATTAAAACAATTTGTGCTTCTATCTATTAGGGTTGTATTTTTGGCTCTTTTTAGGTTCAAATCGATTTGAAAGTGATTTAGGTAAATAATGAATTATGGTCGTTGCAAACGCCATTTTAAACTGATTATACCCTCCCAGCTATGAAAGTGAAGGGTGTAAAAACCTTTTAACAAATATTAATGTTCCCCATAAATTTAAAAATTTATGGGGAGTTTAAAACAAGTAAATTTAGCAATTAATTTAAATTTATCAACAGTGATGATCAAAAGTGTTCACACAATGATCGATTTTATTTATTTACCAACCACCTGTATATATAATATCAAAATATATGTAGGTCGTAGACCCTAATCCAAATCTTTTCAGAAACATTTATTAGTGAAATGGTGATTTGACTTAAATGGAGTGTTACGTAGTAGATTATTGCTGCATTCTGAGTCCTTGACATTCTAAGGAGATCAGGGGGTATATTTTGGTATTCGAAAGCAATGGAAACCTCAATAGAAATTTCCTTAAGACGTCTTTAGTAAATACTTTATGACTTCTCAGAGTTACTGCTGAATTTGTCACTTGTTCCTATACATAAAACTTCATGACAACAACTAACATTTTCATAAATTTTATCAAATCTATGACATATCATAAAGATTTCCAATTGAAGACCCTTAATGACTTTCTCATGTATTCAGCCGAAGATCAGCAGTCTATAATGATGACAATCAAATGACAACCTAATAACTTGTCAGGTAAGTAGTTTTAAAAACAGTTATTGCAATGGTAATTATTAGAAAGTATTAGAGATCCTAAGAGATGGAATTTATGAGGAAGAAGTATTCCCAAATTTTTAGAAATAGTTGTCAAACTGGATAAAATCGATCAAACAGAAAAATGGACAATTTATTCATCAAACCAATTTCTAATAATGCGATCGACCGCAAACAGAGTGATCTAGAAAGAGGTATATTGCAAAATATCTTGAGCCATTAAAAAGTTTTGATTGAACTTTAAGTTGAGAAAGTAAAGTCCGATTAAAACTCGTCAAAAAGTTAAGAAATCTATTGTATATTCTGACTCCTTAACTTTGGGCCTAAATTTCAATATTTTATTGACTTCGGCCTTTTAATATTAGTCGAGTCCTTGGATTCATTATTCTAAATTTATTTCCAAAATAATTACTAGAATACTG